AAAACTTAGGACCTAGGAACAATTGGAAGGGTAAAAAGGGAATTAAGAATGATAAGAGGATGGATAGTGGGAGGAGAAAAGAAAAGGCTATAATGGCTTCTGGGTATCTTAATGGTGATGGAAATGTTGGAGGATTTAGTGGTGGATATAAGCCACCAACACTTAATGAATTGCAAAATCAGAACAGATTAAAGGCCAGGAGATTTTTCCCTAAGAAGAAATTTTATCATAATAATAATAATAACAACAATATGGGTGCCCCTTTTGCTCCCAGGAACACGACGTCATTTATTATTAGGGCAAAGAAGAGTGGTGGTATTGCCTCATTGGTGTCACCCTGTCCTGTGACTCCGGCAGTGTTGCCAACCCCAAATTTCTCTCCGTCGAGGGAGGTATTGGTGGATATGGCGAAGGAGGAGTGGGGGGTTGATGGGTATGGATCGATGAAGGGTTTGATTAGATTGAGATCACCAGGACATGAGATGGAATTACACGAGGAAGAAGAGGAAGAAGAGGGGGGAGGATCAAGCGAGAGTGATGTGGAAGAACATGTGGAGGTAGAAAGGCGATTGGATCATGACTTGAGCCGGTTCGAGATGATTTACCCGAATTCTAGTGGTGTGGAGTATAGCAATGTTTTGGAGAACCGTGTGGATGATCAGGATTCACATATTGCTCAGTTGGAGGAAGAGAATTTGATATTGAAGGAGAGGCTGTTCTTGATGGAGAGAGAGTTTGGTGATTTGAAGAGGAGGCTGCAAAGTCTTGAGAGGCAGGGCTGTGGATTTGACGAGATTAATGAGGAGGTAGTGGAGAATGAGTCTGAGGAGAGTGAAAGCCATGGAGAGTCCGATTCTGCAGAACATCATAATGTGGAATTCCTTGAACAGAACATGGAAGGAGGAGACAGGGATGTGAAAGCGGAGGAAGACAAGGCAAATGATGGGGATATTGAATCTGCACAGGAGGAGAAAGTGGAGGGACATGAAGAATTTAATCTTACTCTGCATGATGAACCTCCTAAAAACGAAAGCATTGCACATGCTGGTATTAAGTGTGAAAGAAACGAGGATGCGGATGTGAGGGATGAGAACAAGGTTGAGGTTACTCAAAGAAATGAAGATGATAAAAACAACATTGAGTCATCAGATAATGCAGGCGTAGGAGATGAAACTATGGAGGAGGCTTCTCTACCTGATGCTGAAGCTGTTGTGCAGACAAATACAGAAGATGAAGAACCAGGAAATGAATGATCAGAGAAGAGTATTTACTATGGTGACTTGTCTAAGTTTACCTCAGTAATGTAAGTCTCTTTTCTGTGAAGTTCTTTCTGGCAATGTGGCTGACATTTCATCTGGAGTTAGAGTACATAAACTTTAGCTTTCCTTTTGGCAACATCTAGAGAAATAATGTTCTGTATGCTGTGATTGCAGACCTTCTACAAGTGCATAGGATGTAGCATTATTGCGTACTGTGTCATTTCTGGTCTCTTTTTTTAATATTTTCTTTTTTCCAAAATTATGTTTTTTGGAGCTGTTTGCAGGAAGTAAATTAGTTTTGAGTCTTCCTCAGTACATCATATCAGACTGTAATAATCGTGGAAGTAACTTTGGGGTTTTTGATATAAACTGTTTCATATGCTGTTAATCATTCTGCATATCTTTAACCTGGGCGTCTGGCAAAGATGTGTCTCTTCTGGGTAATTTCAACTGTGCAACTTATGAATTTTTAAAGTGCGAGTTACAGTGCTTGCGTATCAGTTTAAGTTTTGCAGGTCTGTGCTTCTTTGCTCGAGTAAGTCAACCTTTACTTCCCTCCAGGCCCTTGAGATGGTTGGCAGCTTCTCTCACTGGAGAATAGATTGTCTTTGCTGGAACCTAAATTTGCTGCCTGTCTTAAACTTCTCTAAGTAGTTCCGAAAAATACTTCTTTTTTGTAGTGTAATTACTGTTAATAGTTACACTAGAAATATTTGCTGTTTTCTAGCTCTCTGACTGACTACCGCGAAGTACTGGTTGAAAAGCAAGAAATCAATGATTAAAGATGGAGCAAGATCAATCTACAGAAGCCCGTGGATAGTTACAAGTGTTCTACGCAACTATATCTGGCAACTTGCTTCAGATGAGAATTCGAACATCCCTTCTACCAGAAACTAAAGTAATTTGCTTCCTAGGGTTACTTTGATGGTTAGAGTAGGTGACAAAATTCAATGTACCTTAGCAGCTCTCTGAGTTGGCTATGGTGAAGTCCTGATGAAAATTTTGTGATTATCAAGATATCCATGTCTAGAGTTGGAGGGTAAGTCGAATCTATTATTGTAAATTAAGTTAATAAGTCGTTCACTACAATGCTAAGTCTGTAATTAGCATGTTTATGTGTCTCTAATTCTGTAGTGATATATACATTTGTTTGCAGTATTTATTTAGCTTTCTTGCCTTATTCCATGCTAGTTCATTTACATTCCTGTCTCAGGCTGTCTCAGGGGCATATGCTTGGCCTCTTTGATGTGGATGAACAAGTGCTCAATTTGGTTAGTTCTTGGATTCTCTGAAGAGATAAAAGACTGTTGTTGTGTCAAATGTTCTTATCCTCAATCCTCTTTGCTCATGAAATGTAATTTTTAAGCCAATAGCTGTGTAGAAACTTGAAACCCTATATTAATCTAGTGCACTGTTTGATGTCTCACGGTCTGGTATAATGGATTATCTGTTTGAGTTTTTGTTGATGTTAGAGGAAATGCATTGCCAGTATAGCGGATTCTTGATGAAGTTTTGAGCAATTTCTATGTTGTCAGATATTTTCTCAATCTTTATTGCGTGCTAATATATTGTATTTGACTTTTTTCTTTTTCTAAAATTCATACATGTATTTCTGGGGAGAATCAGTTGCAGCAAGGGAAAGGGAAAAAAAATCAGAAATAGCCAGATTTACAATTGATAATTGAAAAAAATAGACACAGTTTCAAAAGTAATCGAAATTTAGTCACTTTTTCGCGTAAAGATATAATTTGAGCAAAAAAACAACCTTAAAAATTTGAAAAAATTCCAGCATATGTTGGAGTTGGAATTTTTTACATATGAGATTCTAGTATAATATATTGGAATTTCATAATGTGTTGGAGTTCCAACATAATATGTGGGAAGTTCAAATGGAGGAGCTTCATAATCCAGCATACTATGCTGGAATTTTTCGTGCTGGAGTTCTAACATAATATGTTGGAAGTTTATACGCAGGAGCAGAGGCGGATCCAGGATTTGAAGGTCGCGGTTGCACTTTTATATTCTACCAAAATCTGCATTGTACGTTATTACTATATATATACATATATATATTTATATTTACGGGTGCCCGTGACTCCTCATGTGTGTCATAGGTCTGCCGCTCCATAATCCAGCATATTATGTTGGAACTTTTCGTGTTTCAGCAAAATAATAATCATTTTTTAATGACTTGACTATTTTTTATTTACCGTTCTGAAAACTAGCTATGCCGTGCTATTTTCACTTGCGGCTACTGCTTAGGGCACCTCCTTATTCGGGTTTAACTTTATTGTTTGTTAAGCTGCCTTGTGGCAAAGCAATCTTGGATTTAATATTTCAATGTGTTTGAATAAGGCAGCCGCAAAAAAAAAAAAAAAGCAAAAAAGAAAAGAAAAAGAGGAAAGTACAAAAATGAAGTAAGGGTACATAGAGTTGAGGGAAAAAAAAGAAGAAGAAAATGAGGCAAGTTCAGAGCCACTTGTATTTATTGTGTTTTTCCAAATTCACATTGCCATGTGGAAGAATACTTGTTTTTTTTTGTTTTTGTTCCCGCCCAGTGTTCGGTACTCATATTGGAGCTCAACTATCACCCAAATTCGCGCCGCGTAGGGCCTTATTCGGGGGGAAGCGTTCCCTACCAAGGATTTTTTTATATTCAGAGCTCGAACTCGAGATTTCTGATTAAGGGAAGAGCAGCTCCATCCGGTACACCACATCCTTTTGGGTGTGGGGGAATACTTGCACTACTTAATGTGATTAACTTTCTTTAGCAAAAGGATGGTAAATAGAATTTAGCATTCTACTTTGTGGGGAATATTTTTCTAGTTAAATGTGCATAAGGTAATAGAATATGAATTTGAATAAGTTAAAGTGATTAGCTTTATTAGAGAAAAGGTGTTGGGAATTATCAATAGATCATTTTCTCATATAATATAATTAATAACCAAAGTGACCGCGTTAAGCACGTTGTTGACCAAACGCACAAAAATGGTACTTAAAATTTTATGGCTTAAAAAAAATTTATATTCTAAAGATTCGTTATCTCTTCACGATTTCCCCCAATATTTAAATCTCTACTCCAAATACATGGAGTATAAAACAAACTTATCTATCACCTACCTTTAAATATTACTCCCACTTTTCTAATTTTTTTTTGACACCATTTGGATTTTTAGAGTCAAACTTTTTAAATTCAACCTGTAAATTCATATATTGAAAGTTTTTTAAAATAAAATTTACATATTAAAAAATTTCGTAAAACGTACTATTAAGTCACAATAATTTTTTTAATTGGAAAATTCCCAGGGAAACCCGCAGCCGCTTCCCTTCAGGTGAGCACTGGGTAACCTGCTCATGATGCAATAGCTCGCAAACTATACAAGAAGATGTAAACCGCACTAAGCACGTCCGGTGCGACGAGCTCTTACTAAGGAGGCTGCTGGTAGGGGAATCGATCACGAGTCTCAAATCACTCATCCAACCAACTCAGCCAATACTTGCGGACTATAAATCACATAATTAGCAATTCAAAAAATATGTAAAAACNCGCGTTCGCGAAGAGGAAGCTTGGGCACCTGGGAGATTTGTCTTACGCGTTCGCGAGTGTGCCCACGCGAACGCGAAGAACAAAACCCCTGGGCACTAAACAGCAGAAACCTGCAATTTCTATAAGTCTAAAACCACTCCGAAAAACCTCCGAAACACTCCCGAGCCCTCGGGGCTCCTAACCATTCACATACTTATATTTGAATCTTTTTAAAACAAAATGTCAGGAATTTGGTTATCCAAGAATACTGGGGTTATTCGCTTGGTTGAAAACCAAACAGAAGAAGAGCAATTAATTGGGAGAAAAAGAAAGGTTTTGGTACATTTACCAACACAAGAAATTGTCTCATCTTATAACTCTCTTGAGAAAATTCTCACTGATTTGGGATGGGAAAAGTATGATTATGGAGATGATCCTGACTCTTATCAATTCCACAAGAAAACTCCTACTGACTTATCAATCTCTCTTCCTAAGGACTTTGCCAAGTTTAACACAGTTCAAATGTACGATATTGTCTTTAAAACCCGTCATATCTTTCATGTTCGCTATATCTAAACATCATACAACAACAATAATAATTACGCCTCAGTCAAAGTCGATGTGATCAGAGGCGAATTAAGTTTTATGGTTCAACCTTTAAAGTTCTTATCATTGAACCCGTTGTATTTTTGATATTACGGATTCGTAACTACAATTTATTATAATTTTAATGAATTTTTATGCATAAATTTATGCTCTGCATTCGCCTCTGGATGCGATATATAATAAATTTCCTATGTGGATGCCTTGTGTTTTTTTTTGTCCAGCAGCCACTTTGCATTATGTATGTTCGTTATAATGAATAAAAGTTAGTTGTGTCTGTTACTTTTTCACTTCACTCTGTAACGGTTTGTCCCAATTAAAGTCATTACAATTACTTTACTTACTGTATTATGCAGTGTTGGTGCCCTTACCAATTATGAACAGTCTTACAGTCATATGGAATTTTTCCTCTATAGATAAATTCTCTTCCCACGTAATCCTAAGAAGTAGGACCGACTCTATAAAGTCAGAATTAGATCTTTCTTTCTCCGATCCTTCGTAAATAAATGCACCGACTCTTTCCACATGTATTTTTCTATTACTTTTTATACATGTTGGTTTTTTGGCGTTTTAGGGCAGTAAAACCGAAATTCAGGATGATTTTTAATTTTACGTGTGCTACCACGTCATCTTCATGAATTCGGGAGATGAACTATAAATTGCCTAAAAGTTTTATGGGCCCCTCAGAAACGACCTAATGAGTAATAGTCATTGCTTCTCCGTGACTATTCCTCGTTTTTTTTGGCATTTTAGGGCCATAAGACAGGATTTTAGGACTATTTCCAATTTTTTATGGGCTAATGTTCACGCCGGCTTCATGAATTTGACGAGTACTGAATCGCCTAAATTTTTTTGGGCCCATCAGCAATGACACGATAAGCAATAGTCATTGTTTCGCCATGACAGTTGTTCCTTTTTTGGCATTTTGGGCCATAAAACTGGAATTTAGGATGATTCCAATTTTTTCGTGTGCTAATATACACGCCATCTTCATGAATTCGGGCGACAGGCGCTGAATCTTGCCTAAATTTTATGGGCCCATTAGAAACGACCTAATGAACAAGAATCATCGCTTCGCCGTTACTGTTCCTCGTTTTTGGCATTTTAGGACCATAAAATAAGAAATCAAGATGATTTCTAACTTTATGGGTGCTAATATCCACGCCATAAAATAGGAATTCATGACGATTCCTAGATTTTCGTGTACTCACGCCATCTGCATGAATTCAGGCGAACGACCCCGAATCTCCTAAAATATTGCGGGCCCATAAAAAGAGCTAATAAACAATAATCATTTCTTCGCCACAACTGTTTCTCGTTATTTAGCGTTTAGGGCCATAAAACAGGAATTCAAAATAATTCCCAGATTTTCATGTGTTATAGTCCACATCATATGCATGAATTCGGGCGAACGGTCCCGAATCTCATAAAATTTTGCAGACCCATAAAAATGACCTACTGAACAATAACCATCGTTCACCATGATCGTTCCTCATTTTTGGCGTTTTTGAGCCATAAAATAGGAATTCCGGATGATTCCTAGATTTTCGTGTGCTATACTCCACACAATCCGCATGAATCAGGGTAACCAGCCCTGGATCTTCTAAAATTTTGCGAAGTGGTAAAAAATGATCTAATGAACAATAGTCATCGCTTCGCGATGACCGTTCCTCTTTTTTGGCATTTTAGGGCTATAAAATAGTAATTTAGGACGATTCCCAAATTTTGTATGCTGTAGTCCATGCCATCTGCATGAATTAAGGTGACCGGTCCTGAATCTCCTAAAATTTTACGGGCCCATAAAAATGACCTAATGAACAATAGTCAATGTTTCACCATGTCTGCTCCTCATTTTTTGGCTTTTTAGGGCCATAAAATAGGAATTGAGGATCATTCCCAGATTTTCATGTGCTATAGCCCATGCCATCTGCATGAAATCAGGCAACCGACTCCGAATCTCCTAAAATTTGCGGGCCCATAAGAAATGACCTAATGAACAATAGTCATTGCTTCGCCATGACCGTTCACCGTTACTTGGTATACGAATCTCAAATTTTAGTATGTTATAGTCCACGCCATCTGCGTGAATTCGGGCGACCGACTCCGAATCTCTTCAAATTTTACGGGCCCATAAAAAAGACCTGATGAACAATAGTCATCGCGTCGCCATAACCTTTCCTCATTTTTTGACGTATTAGGGCCATTAAACAAGAATTCAAGACGATTTCTAGATTTTCGTGTGCTATAGTACACGCAATCTGCATGAATTCTGCCGACCGGCCCTGATTCTCCTAAAAATTTGTGTGCCCATCAAATGACCTAATAAATAATATTCATCATTTCGCCATGTCCGTTTCTCGTCTTTTAGTATTTTAGCGCTATAAAACAGGAATTCAAAACAACAATAACAACAACATACACAGTAAAATCCCACTAGTGGGGTTTGGGGAGAGTAGAGTGTACGCAGACCTTACCCCTACCCCGAAATGGGCAGAGAGGCTGTTTCCAGGAGACTCTCGGCTCAACAGGAGAAAACAGGAATTCAAAACGATTTGCAAATTTTTGTGTGCTATGGTCCAAGCAATCTGCACGAGTTCGGGCGACCGACCCCGAATCTCCTAAAAATTTTCGGTCCCATAAAAAATAACCCAGTGAACAATAGGCATTGCTTCACCATGACAGCTCCTCATTTTTTTGGCGTATTAGGGCCATAAAATAGAAATTCAAGAAGATTCCTAGAATTTCGTGTGCTATTATTCATGCCATTTGCATAAATTCGGGCGGCCGGTCCCGAATCTCATAATATATTGCGGGCCCATAAAAAGCAACCTTATGAACATTACTCATCGCTTCTCTATCACCGTTCCTCTTTTTTGGCGTTTTAGGGCCATAACTGGAATTTCGCGCGATCCTCATATTTTTGTGTGCTGTAGCCCACGCCATCTGCATGCATCCGGGCGACCGGTACCGAATTTCCTTAAATTTTGCAGGCTCATAAACATAACCTAATGAACAATATTCATTGATGGCCATGATCATTCCTCATTTTTTAGTGTTTTTGGACCATAATGCAAGAACTCAGAACGATTTCCAACTATTCATATGGGATAGTCCACGCCATGTGCATGAATTCGGGCTACCGGTCCCGAATCTCCTAAAATTTTGCGAGCCCATAAAAAATGACCTAATTAATAATAGTCATCGCTTCGCACGACCGTTCCTCATTTTTAGCGTTTTAGGGCCATAAAACATGAATTCAAGACGGTTCTCAGATTTTTGCATGTTATAGTCCACGCCATCTGTATGAATTCGGGCGACTGGCCCCGAATCTCCTAAAAATTTGCGGAGCGACTTGAAAATGACCTAATAAACAATAGTTATCACTTCGTCATGAACGTTCCTCATTTTTTGGCGTTTTAGGGCCATAAAACAGAAATTTAGAACGACTCCCAAATTTTTGTGTGTTATAGTCCACGCCATCTGCATAAATTTGGGCGACCAGTCCTGAATCCACTAAAATTTTGCGGGCCCTTAAAAGCGACCTAATCAACAATCGTCATCGCTTCGGCATGGCCGTTCCTTGTTTCTCGGCGTTTTAGGATCATAAAACAGGAATTCAGGATGATTTTTGAATTTTTGTGTGCTATAGTTCACGCCATAAAAAATGACCTAATGAAAAATTATCACTGCATATCCATGACCATTCCTCATTTTTTGGCATTTTGGGGGTCATAAAAAAGGAATTTAAGACGATTCCCAAATTCTTTTGTGCTAGTCCATGTAATCTGCATGAATT